AGCAACATGGCTAATGCCTTTCACACAGCTTTGTCTCAACTCCAAAGAGCCACAGAAGTAAAAGATAATAATAATAATTGGAACAATCTTTGAAAAAATGACTTACCAAGCAAGGCAAACAACTCAAATATGTAGAGCAAAATGTTCTGAAACGGCTTCACTTCAGCTTCGATTGGAGCCGTGCTGGGGGCGGAGTCTGTGAATTTACTCTATTGGTGTCATAACCCCTCTAGGAGTTCAGAGTTAAGAGGTCAAGAGTTAATATTTCCATTGTAACACCTCCAGATTTGACATAGAAACACTCATTTTTAAACACTCGGTTTTAACTACTATCATTTTACACCTCAGAGTTAAAAGAATGTGCCTCTACTTAGAGCAAAATTAACTCTACATTTGCAAGAAGACTACTAACACCAAAACATTTAACACTTTTGAATTTGATGTGTAGCAAAACAGCCCTGAGTATGACGCTACCACCACCATGCTTGCCAGTTGGTACAGTGTTCACAGGTTTAAAAGCCTCACCTTTACTCCTCCAAACATAACTTGAAACTGTAGCCATTTGGCTTGTCTAAGTAGGCACTCTAGTTGAGCCTGAAAAGGTGAACTTTGAAGCAGGGGCTTCTTTCTTGATCAGCAAGAAATGTTTGGATTATGCTTTAATTTTAAAAATGTATCTAATTTGGTCATCAAAACTAATATTTTGTTTGTATTTTGTAAAATTTGTTTATTAATAAATGAAAGTGTATTTAGAAAATTAGATTTTTGTGTATTTTGGACATTTTATGTCTTGTAGTCTGAAAAGAAGAACTAAAAGCTCTAAAAACTATATCAATCAATTTACTGAAAATGTGTTTAACATATAAATGCAATATTTCCCATCTTTTCGTTCGACTTCATGAACATCCAGCTGCATGTTAAAAATGTCTTGTGACTTGCAAAGGACTCTGCAGCCTTTGCAAAGGAAAACAGGCTGTTTGTGTATATCAGACTTGTCATAGTTTATGTGTCTGTGTATTTCTGAAAGCTGCTCAAAATTTAGCTTAGAGGTCTTGTACATTTCTCACCACTCATGCAGGCAGGGCGGCACACCAGCATGAGGGTTTAAATAATGTTCATAAGATAAAAATGTTCCTTCAGAGAAAGTGACCCACCTACAGAGGCTAAATTTGTTGATATGTTATCGTGCTGAGACTGAAGCAAACCCCTGTGGCTCAGCCCGAACCCATGAGCTGCTGCGATATCACTAGTGGTCTTTTATATTCAACTGCATCAGTCTGACATGAAAAGGGGAAATAAAATTAATAGTGAGCATTGACATGAAACACAAGGTAAAAATTAAAAAAAATATTTTCCTCTAACAAATGCAAATGGTCTGGTTATAAACACACCAAATGTGACAGAAGTCAAAATGACTTCAACGGCTACACCGATGAGCTCTGTGTTTGTGTGTGCATGTTACAAATTTCCCCAGGCAACAACAAAAGCAGAGAGGATGATCCTGTTTTTACAGTATGACATCAAATACGTGACGAGCAGACAAACACGATGAAGCAGAAGGAAATTTAAAGGTTTTAGTCAGAAAAGAGAAAGAGGGAGGGAGTGTGACCAGGCGAACAAGCTTAAACAGCGAAGATAGACGTAGTATGAGACGGAGAGAGAGAGAAAAAAAGTAGAGCGTAGGAGACGGAGAAACAAAGAGGTGCAGAAACAAAGTGATGGAGAGAAAGAATGGAAACGACATCCGTTAAAGAAGAATAAAGGATACGAAAAGATGAACAAAGACAGAAAGAGAACAGAGCTCTGTAAAAAATACCCAAAACATTCAGCCTTATTCTCATTTACCAGTGAGCTTTATACAGACCTACAACATTTGCTTTTTATACACTCAGCATCCAGAAAGTGTTCTTTTCAAAATCTCCAGTTTAAACTAGGTACATATTCAACATTTATATTAATCCTGGTAACCATATAAAGCTAGATGTAAACTTAAAGAATTAGCATTAGCAGACACTGATGAGATTTCACCTGTAAGATAATGACAGCAAAAACTAAAAATTAAGTACAGTGCAGTGTTGCAGAGTTTTATGTACACTGCAGAGGTGTTTATTCAAAAGAGAAGAGTGAAAAAATATATGCAAGTGTTTTATGTTTTGTCTATCTATCCATCAATAATATGCTTATGTGATTCAGGGTGGCAGGGTGTGGGCGCCAG